TATCTATTTAATCCTCTGGTATTGCATGTGTTTTGTAAGCCAATACCAATCCTTTCTAGAGTGAAGCAGGGCAAATAGATGAAATGGTCATAATCTCTAGTATAATCACTTGGTCAGTCACTGTCTATGATATGTGAGCAGGAGCAGCCCTTGTCTAAGGAGCTCTCAGCCCCAAGGAAAGGCTGGCCTGATGGGAGCACTGACATTCCCCTGGAAGCATACGTTAGCCACACCACAGAGGCCACTTTGCACCAGCCAGAGTGCTGAAGGTGTCACTGAGACGGTGTCCATCAGGACAGCCCAAGATCTGGCTGCAGGCAGTGGCACCCACCCCATGCACCTGCCCCATACAAAACCCACTGCTGCCCACTTCATTTCTGGGACGTTAGGTTGGTTCTGATTCACCCAAGGGAATTAGAGGGCAATGAGGATTTCTATTCTCTTTCTTCCTTCTTTTTTCTTTCTTTTTTTTCCCTAAGAACGAGAATGCTGGCAGTTGACCTCCCACCCAGAAACCCAAGGCAACAAGCAACATGGGACACATTCACGCCACAGCAAGGCAAGGCAAGTGCAGCTCTGGCTTGAGAGACCACTTCAGGGAGTGCAGCCAAGGGAGCTGAGAATGAGAGCTGGGCATTCCTTCTCTCACCAGCCCTCCCTCGGTGGAGACCAACCCAGGGCCCAGAGATGCGGAGAGTGGGAGGTCTCGTCCCTGACTTCAGAGCTTCCAGGTCAAAGGACATCTTTATGTTCCAGGTCTCCACCTTGACTCATGGGGATGATTCTCCCAACCTCCTGTGGCCCCTCTGATGGGGGTTCCCACTACCCCAAGAACTTCTGCACTTTCTCCATGGCCTACTGGATGTTGTGACCAGACCTACAGAACGTGGGAGGGTGAACAGGGCCCTGGGTGGGGGTAACAGGAAGGCCGTTCACACCCATTCCATCCAAGCCAGCTGCACTGTCTGTGTGGTCTCAGGCAAACCCCAACCCCTCAACCCGAGAGGCCTCCTCAGGGCCCCACAGCTTCGCCCGCACACTGCAGTCCTAAGCACCAGGATCACGTAAGGTAGCCAACGCAGGCACGCCAAAGACTCAGCCTCGGGTGGGGAGGGCAGCTGGTGCACCAGGGGTCACAAAAGGGTAAAGTACACAGAAGCGCCAGGTGAGGCCAAAGAGCTGAAGTCATCTCCTGCCCAGAATTCTCTCCCAAGTCCTGGACTTCTCAGACCTTCTCCACACCTCCACCTGCACGTCTAGTAGACACTTCGACATGTCCAGAATGGAACCCCACCTCTGCTCAAACCTGCTCCACTCATAGCCACCCCCATGTCAGGTGACAGCAGCTCCACCTCCCAGGTGCTCAGGTGGCCGTCATCAAAGCTGTCCTCAACTCCCCTTTCACCTCCATCCAGCCCTCCAACAAGTCCTGCTGGCTCTCCTTTAGAATGTACCCAGACCTCCACAGTTCCATCAGGTGCAGGCTCGATCATCTCCCACCTGGATAAAGACAGTGCTCTCCTGACTAGTCTCCCCAGGCCTGTCTTGCCCCATACATAGCCAGAGGGTCCTCTTAGGCCTTCTCATCCCTAAATCAGATCAAGCTCTTCCTCAGTTCCAAACCCTCCCCTGCCTCCCCAGCTCACGGAGTAAAAGCCAAAGGGCTTCCAATGACCCAGAAGGCCCTACACCAGTCTCCTTAGGGTGTGATCCATGACAGACAAGTATAGGGAGAGAGAGCATTTGGAAACTTTTCTAGCCATCTGACATTGCTACAACATCCAAACACTGATACAAAAGTATCAGCCTGAGATGGATTAGGAACTGAGAGAAATGCTTCCTGCCAGAAGCAATCTGAGAAGCATGCCCTACACCTTCTCCACGCCTGCCCTCAGCCACACTCCCACCCTCACCTCATGCGCCACTCACCCTCACTCAGCTCTGGCCACACCGGCTGCCTTCCTGTTCCGCAAACATTCTGAGCACATTCGCACCTCAGGACCTTTGCACAGCTGCTCCTGCCCTCTGCCTGGAATGCTCTTCCAGACCTTCACACAGCTCCCTCCTCCTCCCCCTTCAATCCTTGCTCCGACATCACCTTCTCAACAAGGCTTGTTCTGACACCCTCCTTAGCCCTGCAGACCACCCTCCTGCTCCTCATACTCAGCTGGGTTGTCCTGGTTTTGTTTGCTGTCTGCTAGAGCACTCATTACATTACATGCTGTATAATGTCCCACATCTATTATCTCTCTTCCCATTAGTAGTGGCAGGGGGCTCTGCTTTGTGCTTAGCACAGTGCTGGCACACAACGGGAACTCAACACACACTTGTAGAGTGAACAAGGGAATGTGGGAGCCAGAGCGGAGCTAGGGCAGGCTTCACAGAGCGAACCCAAAAGCAGTGCCCCGAGGCAGACTTCACAGCCCTGAGCTGGCAGAGAACCAAGGACCAGCAGGGAAGGGAGCTGTCCGCCATGTCAAAGGCTCTGGGGTGAACAGTGCAGGGACTGCTGGGAGCCAGAGGAGCTTTCTGAGCCCCGGGCTCAGGGTATCATTCATAAAGATGGAGGGTAGATAAGAATGGGAGAGCCTAATAGCCAGGAAGCCAATCAGAAAGCTGGCACTGAATTGAGGCCATGCAAGTAGAGATGAAGGACAGAATCTGAGAGGCTTCCAAGGTCAGATCCACAGATGTATGTGGAAGTGAGAGGGACGGAGGAGGCACAGGGAGGATCAAATGCGTACGCTACGTCAAAGAAGCTCTTCTCAAACCTCATGCACACTGCGGGCCATAACCTCCCGGCCAGGCCTGCTCCCCCATAAAGGGGCCAGGGCCTTCTCAGCCATCTGCCTCCACTCGCCCCCTACCCTGAGTCTGCACCTGTGCCCACCACGCCTCCCTTGCAGGTTCTGGGGTCCTAAGTGTGCCCCTCACAAATGTCTCCCCTGAACCATAGCCTGAATTTCACGAGACCATTTTCTGAATGGCTGGTGTCAGTCTGACTGACTTCTCCTCTGCTGGATTCCAAGCTGGTATCTTCAAAGCAAATCTGCAGATGTGCACTTTTTTTTTTTTTTGAGGAAGATTAGCCCTGAGCCAATATCCACTGCCAATCCTCCTCTTTTTTGCTGAGGAAGACTGGCCCTGAACTAACATCCATGCCCATCTTCCTCTACTTTATATGTGGGACGCCTGCCCCAGCACAGCTTGATAAGTGGTGGGTAGGTCCACACCTGGGATCCAAACCGGCAAACCCTGGGCCACCAAAGTGGAGCGTGCAAACTTAACCACTGCGCAACCGGGCCAGCCCCAGATGTGCACATATTAAGAACCTACCTTACACTTAATACTTTGTTAGGTGCTAAGAAAAAAACAGAAAGGAGTCATGGGACAGGTCCTGCCCCCAGACAGCTCCCCATGATGGGGAGGGTGTGAGATATGGAGAAGAATGCACACACGAAAAGGTTACAGGATGAAACATGACACCGTGTGACACCTGTTTGTCCAAAACTCACTTGGGCCAGGAGAAATCCTCCCAAAAAACCCAAAACTCATTTTTATCCTTAATTTCTACCAGAGCTGAAGGAGAAAAGAAATCCACATGGGGTCTATATCTTGAGCAACTTGTCAGATGTGTGTGTGCAGGGGAGGCAGCCAAGCAGAGGGAACTGAATGGGCAAGATAGACCAAGACCGACCTGCTTAGGCAGGGCACCTGGTCCTGGCCACAGTGGGAGCAGCAGGCAGCACTGCTGAGGCGGCTCAGCCTGATTTTAACATACAAATGTCTCAGGAAAGCCTGCCTGCCACCAGGAAAGCTAGAGGGCCAGGTGAACACAGTTAATCACCCAGACTCAAAACAGACCTTACCAGTTACTGGATAGGTAGAACATGGGAAAAACACAAAGGGAGCTCCTGGAATTCTGGGGATCCCTGGGAACCTGCGGGAAGAGGCCCGGAAGATCTGGTGGGAGAAACGGGCACGTAACTCAAACGCCTTCGGGTGATCCTTCAAACACACTTTGACCTTTTGCATTCTCTGAGGCGCAAAGCTGGCCCTCCTTACAAAATCCTGTATAAACCGTTAGAGGATGAAGGAAAATCTCCCAGAGCTAAACAGAGTGATCACACAAATCCCCAAGTCAGACAAGCTGTAATATTAATGAGGCATGAATGAACAGTAACCGTTTCCAGGGCTGGATAAAGGCTGGCCACCTTATCGGGAAGTCGCAAAAAGGCTCTCCGCTGGTGCCCCTTCTAGTAAGAGCAGAAGAGAGCAGGCGGCTTTCTGCTCTGTGGCGGGGCCCCACTTGGGACTGAAGGTAGATTAGACTGAGAGCATTTTCTCACAGGCAACAGTGAAAAATCTGTTTTCAGTTTAATCTGCAACAGTTGTAGACTGACCAGGATACATTATTAATTAGCCAAAAGAGAAGCCCCATTTTCAGTTACCCATTCAATTAGGTATCTTCAAACACTGTGACCTAGAATTGACAGTACAGCTAACTCTCTGTTTACCACGGTGATGGGGATTTCAGGAAGGACGGCAGTTAATTGAGAAGCAAAAACAAGCCCATCCTGTCCTCAGCGAGGTATTGTCACTGCATCAAGGACGGTGGCCTCCAGCAACTGTCCCCTGAGGCCCTCAGGGCTGCCCACGCTTCTGGCTCAGTCCTCCGCCACGCCTGGGTCTGGCAGACAGTGGAGCCCCTTCGATTTTCAGGGCAGGGGGACAATCACCCCACGCCTCCCCCAAACAGCAGCTCCCCTATTAGCCCTTCAGCAGAACTTCTGGCAGTGACGCGTGATGGCGTGAGGGGAGCATGGCTAGGCCATGAGCTCCTAGGGAGGGAGGAAGACAGGGGCTCTGGGGCCACTGGAGGTTGGACCATGAGGCCCAGAAGGAGACAGGGAGAGAGTTGGCTGTACTGACACAACAAGCACACCCCCAGCAAGCAGCCCAGCATTTCTAGGAAGGAGAAAAGCAAACCGCCGTCCCACCTCGGGCTGCGCGGTCACAAGTGAGGCAGGGCTGGGACCAGTCGCCATTTGGGCGGGAGGCCAGCCCCAGGTGCGGCAGGAAGGGGTGGCGCTGGCTCAGTGGCTGCAGCTCCTCACTCTGACCCAGCGGGGCTGCTGTGCGGTGCTGGGGGCACAGTGAGGCCTCGGGTGCTGTCGGGCAGGGACACACACACATACACACAGAGAAAGACATGCCATTAGAGGGAGAGGGAGCGGCAGAGGTGCGGGTGAGGCCAACGCCCCATAGGCTCAGAGATGGTGAATAGCCAGCTGACCACATTCTAACCTGAACATGCAGCTGAAGCTCAACGTCTGAGGGAACCAGAAGCTGTTAGAGCTGGGAGCATGGCAGCATCGATCAGGCCAGTGGAAGGCTGGCAGGACGTGTGACTGGGTGCCCGACCCAGACCCCCAAGCTCCTGCACCTTCACCGCCTCTCCCAGCACCGGAACGTCCCACAGACTACTGATGAGATGGACCCTATTTCAGCTCCTCGCTTTCTATCCTCTGGCCTCTTGAGAAGAATGACTGCAAACACATGTCGAGAGAACAGCCCCCATGGCCATATAGTACAGCCACAGTCACTTCCCAAAGGGGAAGTCAAGGTGGCTTGAGACCAACTCAATTCAGAGGGCCTTTCTGGAGGATGGAAAGAGGCTCCTTGACAGAAAAACAACAACTTCATTTCTTAAAGGGCAACCTTCATTTTCTGATGAAACCTAGCCCATAGGGAGACCTCTGGAGACACGGGCTCCATTTGTTCCGAGTGGTTTCATTAAGGTCACAACCTTTGCTTAAGTGGAACAGTACTAACTAAGTGGGGAAAACAACAATAACTAGAAATAGGACAATAAAACACTAATCTCTCCAAGCTTGATAATAATTTAGAATTCCCGGGGGGGGGAGTATGACTTTACTATGCAAATCTCCTATTTGACACATTTCTCAAAATGCTGCAGTACAAATACTGCTGGTGGCAGCACAAAGTCAAATTGAAACCTGCAAAAGCAGGAAACCTGAGTAAGTGGTCTGGTAACAGAAGCACTGACTAATAAGCAAGGGTTGACAGGGGTTTGCCAAACTACAAACAATGTCCTTTAAAAAAAGAAAGAAAAAAGTTTTCTGTTATGCTGACACAGTGTTACTGATTCCAAAAAGAAAGGGTATGGGGACTTGAACTTCTGTTTTTATTACAGCCAGAAGATACAATTTCTGCATCACCCACCCCACCCAACCCCTGCAGGCCACCAGGGCTACCTATCTCAACAGCATACTGTGAAAGTAGAGGGGTGCCATTCCTGGGACCACTTTCAGTGAATGGCCAGGATGCCAACACAGCTCACAGAGACCAGATTCCATCATGCCCTGAACTCCACTTCTGTTCCCTGAAATCTCTTCTAAACGTTGGGAAAAGACCCAGAGTAATCCGAGATGCAAAACGAGAAAACAGAGCAGCACACCTAGCATAGACCCACCCATGCCACCAAATAACCAAGAACTTTCATCCGCATGTTGGGAAAGGAGGCCTTGCCCACACTGACACCTGCAGAGGTTTTTGCCTTCTCCTTCTTCACGTGCGACAGAGACATACCATCTTACCCTCCTTGATGCTGAGAAAATACACTGAGCCAGTCAGGAGACCTGCAGCCCAGTCATTAGAAAACCACTTAATGTGAGATGAAAGAAACAAGACTATCCAGAAAGAGCATTCGTTTCCTCCTAACTACCAAATACAGTCAACTCCCCACTGTTTGTGCAGCAGGCCAATCCCTTGGCTCCAGCCCTTCCATGAGGAGGAAGCAGACAAGATCTGCCCCTAGGCCTGCCTTTTCCCCAGGGGCCAGCCCTGCCCAGGTGTACAGAACCAGATCACACAGTAGCGAGAGACTCTCGAGACCCTCAAACCAGAGCAGCCGAGGGGCTGAAAGCCCCTTAGTAACTGTAACTCGATGTAGCCCAAGGGCATTGTTGTCTGGGCTGCCAAAAGCTGAGAACAGAGGATAGATGTAAGATCTCACTCAGCCCAAGGGCACCCACGCTACCCGTGGCCAAGCGCTGTTGCATCTGTACCCAGCGCACTCTGGCAAGGGGCAGGGGAGCGCTTCCACTACTCACAGCCATGGTAGGAGGCCGGCGAGCCCCCAGCCTTGCCATACTCCTGCTCCGAGTAGCTGGTGGAGAGGTTGGGCTGGCTGGAGCCACGGCCGAAGGTGATCTGGTTGCTGCCCATGCCGGTGGCGACCTGGGCCATGCGCTCTTTGGTTTTGAGAGCCTGGGCCCTCTCAGCCTTCAGACGCTCCTCATCCTTGAGGAGGGCCACCAGCTGCTTTGACTTCTCACGCACGTTGATGCCCTGGTCCTTGCCATCACGGTCGATATACTGGAAGTCCTTCAGGGTCTGGATGGCGAAGATGTTCTCGCGGCACTGCTGGGCCACGCGCTCGGAGCCGGTCTTGATGAGGTAGTCCAGCAGCGTCAGCGCCTTGTACACATGCCGCCAGTTCTTGCCATGGTCATTGAGCCGCTTCCACACCATGCTCATGATCTCTGAGAAGGCCACCACATTGTAGGTCAGGTCAGCGATCTCAGTCATCAGAGAGCTGGAAGGGCCCCATGGGTCATTGGAAGTGGCTTCTCGGACTTTTATTTCAGCTTCTGAGTAATTGTTCACAATGTTTTTCATCTGGCGTCTGATAGACGAGGTCGTCATCTTTAATTTTCTTTGTTACAAATGTAAAGCCCTTCAAAGAGAGAAAATTTCCTGTCCTGGGCAAGATCACACCATGCAAAGTTCAGTCTCTAACACATCTGGAGCAAGATCCCTGACAGTCATTTCCTCCGTGGGAGCCTCAGGTCCAGGAAGCCGGAAGCCATGACCTAGAGAAAGAAAGAGAAGCACTCACTGCGCCATCAGCTCCTCCAAGACAGAAGGAGGCTCTGGCTTAGACATTTTGTGAACAGAGGCATTGAGGTCTGTCAAGGGGCAGTGAGTGAACACACTCCAGCCTCCCTAGGATGAGAGAGAGTCCAACTTTCTTTCAAGACTAAGATAAGCTCAATATTACAAGTTAATAATGAATAAAATTTTAAAAGTAAATAAAATGTAAACTCAACTTTAAGCCATTGGAAGAGAAGTAAACAGTATGACTATTGTTCTGTTTTCAAAACACTTCCTCTGGAATGGCTCTTCTATGGATTGTATTTTCACTGCGTGGCAAAAGCCAGCTACAAAAGAATCATAAAGTTTGGAAAGGTCAGTCCTAACAGATTTTACATTACCTCTGGGAGCAAGAAAGCCTCTCATTTCAGTATATCGTAACCCAAAAATGCCTATCTACACCTTTAAAATTGCTTCACCTTGGGCTTTGGTCCACCATGATTCTAAGATTCTAGCTGCCCAGGGAATTCTCTGTGAGCACTGCTTTTCTCCCGACTTTTTGTAAAAGTTTCCAACTATTCTTCTAGAGCACGGGTAAGGCCCTCCACTGGGCTTTCAAAAGTCTCCAGCACCTGGCCTGAGCTGTATCACACACCCTTAGAAATAATCTGGTTCTGGCCCAATCCCCTCATTTCACAGAGGAGAAAACTGAGGCTCAGGGTTACACATTAGCTGGTCCACTCAGCCCTACAAGCACGAACACTTCTACCCGTCTCTCCAGAGCAGAAACACTGTCCGAGCTCAAGTGAAGTCCACGTCTCCAAGAGTGGGCTCTGCTCCACGAGTTTGGGGACCCCCATATGGCTTGCTTACCAATGAGCACCCAGCACCTAGCGCTGTGCCTGACACAGATATAAATGTTACTGAATAGATTTATGAAACAGATTAAAAACTGTGTCCCTGTCCTGAGGAAGGCCACAGTCTGGCAGGGGACAGAGGTGAGCACAGGGGATCTAAGGATGCAAAGCTAGAACAACCAACCTAGCTGGCTGTTGGGATTGCAAACACAGGCACAAAAAGGACTTTCTGCCAGAAATAACCCTCAGTATGGTCTTCAAAGCTGAGGAGACCTGAGCAGGTGGAAGGGAAGTGGTGACACAGGTTATTCCTCAAGGTGAGAAAACAGGCCCAGAAGACGCCAGGGACTGCCGAAGATAGGGCAGCACAGCTGGGGTCTGGCCACACTACCCACTGTCCTACCATCCCCCACCCACATCCCCAGCTATTGCCTGCTGGGCTCGTCTGGCCTGTGAAGCAGCTGTGGCAGCCTCACGCCAGGCTGTCCCACGTAACGCTTACGAAACCTTCTGGGGAATGATTATTCTTCCCACGGTACAGATGAGGAACTTGAGGCCTGGAGTTATGAGGTCAGCTGACTAAGGTCAACCAGCTAGGACCGTCCTCTCTCCTCTTGCAGGGGTCCTTACTCTCCAAGCTGCTGCGCTGCTTCTGCTAGAAAAACAACGGACAGCTCCCACCTTCCTCACATATAGCCTCAGACAGGCAACGGACACATCAAAAGAAAAAGTAAAAAAAAGGTGTCAGGAGCAGGAAAAGCAACAGGAAACGCAATGATCACTCATCACATGTACCCATACAAATAAGAAAAAGGCAGCTCATAAAATTTCATCCTGGTGACAATCAATACATGTGCTCCAGCCATCCTTCTCTCCACCCTCAAATACACCAAGAACTCTGCCTCCAGCTGAAACCACAGGAGGGGCTTCAGCTGAAGGCAGGCCTATTCTGCCTCTCCACTGATCTGGCCAGCTCTCACAAATCCTCCAAAGCTGTAGAAGGACCAGGGATAAAAACTTTCACAGTGACCCACACATTCAATTTAATTAGGTTTTTCATTCACTGCTAGCAGAGGTGGGATGTGCCTGAAAAGGAAAAAAGAACACTTTGATTTTTAATGAGCATCTCCCAGCTTAAAGTGCAAATATTTGTCAAAATCAGTAGTAACATTTGGATGGACACAATGCCCAGGGGCCTTACGATGTGCCAGGGACCACCAGGCACTTCCATTTGTCATTCCATTTGATGCACAGCAGGTGTGACTGTCCTGCTTCTTGGAGAAGCAGGGAGAGCTGGGATCCAACACTGAAGAAACCCTGGGGCACCTTCCTCCAGGTCAGGAAGCAGCATCGATTAAGCAAGAGAGCAAATGGTCCTGCTAAAAAGGCCTCAAACAGTTGAAAATATAACGACAAAACCCACCATTTCCTGAGGGAGAAAGGATGTGCTAGGCTCTGCTGCCCCTCCTCTAGCCTGGCTGCCTTGGGGAGTGGACCAGAACGGCTGGACTCGGTGTCCTCCGAAGGGAGAAGCAGAGGAGAGGGCCCAGGTACCTCTGGGCAAAGGCTGGGAAAGGAATGCCAAACAATTTAGAAAGAGGGGCTGTAGACCAAGGTGGGGGCTTTCTCTAACAGGCTCAACTTGTAAAGATATCTGTTGGCAGTCTCTTTGAAACATTTAGGCTTCAAGAAGGAAAAAGCTAATGAAATATTTGTTATAGTCAGAAAAGACATGTAAAGTCTATATTAATTTGAACGGCTGCCTGCTATTTTCTTAAAAGCTATAGACAAGAACAGCTTTCAGGACAGGCAAATGGTGAGAAGGGTGAGATCTGAGAATGAGAAATTCATGACAGGACAAAGGACAGCAAATGTGCCTTCGAGAAACCATTTTCAAAGTCAACTGAGTTACACACCTCACCTGAGACTTTGCAGACGGGAACTGCCAATTCCAGCCATGAGAGAACCTGGCCACAGGAGGGGGGGCTGCAAAACCACAGCAGTGCCAGCCTGGGCACAAGATGTCCCAGGTTGCTCCACTTAAAGATGTGGACCTCTGTGGCTCAGTTGCGCCTGCCTATGTGGACCTCAGACCTAGCTTTTCCCATTTTAAACCTCTCCCCCTCAACCTCAGGATTTAGCTGTAAACACTTAAACCTTTCCCCTCCCAGCAAAAATCCACCAGGCGCTCCCTCCTAAAAGCAAGCCCCAAACACACACCATCCTCAAGTAGACATCCTGTTATTTCTAGAACCTGAGTTTTGTTTCGTTCTCACTCCTTTTTGAATAGTTTGCACGCTCCACTTTCCAAACTTTCCTTCTCAATTTGCCAGTTTTCTTCCGCTTCCAGCTTGCTGAGCCTGAACTAATGCACATGCAAAAGCAACTAAAACAGGAGCATTTGTTACCTTCTGGGCTCTTCACTCAAGTCTGGGGAACTGTGGTCAGTTCACAAACATCCAATCGTTTATTAAGGACCTCCAAGCCAGATATGGGGAAGACGTGGGTGAGGGGGAGGAGGAGGTTGTCAAAATAGGGAGGAAAAACAAACTTTGCTAAACGTTTAGACCAAGATAGCCCCAAAAAAAAGTAGGAGGACTCGTTTTCAAAAGCTAAACACTGACAGCTAAAGGGACAAACACCATTAGAACATCAGTAACTAGAAATGCCTTTAGAAATCTAGTTCTACTGCCAGATATTACTTAGAACTACTTTACGGTAAGTGGTAAATGAAGCACATGAGTTTGTATAATCGGTACAACTTTAAATATTTTTGAATGGAGACAGCAAAAAGACTTCAAGTTGAGATTTACTATTCAAGGCAAACAAATCTTTCTGCACCTGCCAAAGCAGCTGGAACAGGAGCCAGAGGACATCCACTTATTTTCCTGAATGAGGTGAGCAGGGACTCCCAACCACCACAACCTCCACCATACCTCCCCACTCCAGCCTCAGCCTTGAAGAGCCTGTTTTGAAACTGTACTAATTAAAAATTCACTTTGTTAAGAATCAAGGTTTCTGGGGCCAGCCCTGTAGCCGAGTGGTTGAGTTCTCGCGCTCCACTTCAGCGGCCCAGGGGTTTGCCGGTTTGGATCCTGGGTGCAGACATGGCACTGCTTATCAAGCCATGCTGAGGTGGCGTCCCACATAGCACAACCACAAGGACCTACAGCTAGAATGTGAAACTAGGTACTGGGGGGCTTTGGGGAGGAGGAGAAGAAGAAGGAAGAAAAAAAAAAGATTGGCAACAGATGTTAGCTCAGCTGCCAATCTTTAAAAAAAAAAAATTAAAAAGAAAAAAGAATCAGTGTTTCTGATGCACATGAGAAAACCACTGGTAGCCACACCGAGTCAATAAAATCAAACCACGGGCAAAGAAACTGAACATATCAGCTGGCCTGGAAAGTCTCACCGTGGCCAATATACATTTCTGTTGGGACTCCCAAAAGGCCTTTGGGAGCTTCGGAGACTCCACATCAAAGCCAGTCTGTTCAGTATGAAAGGGGACTCTCACTTTTCTACAGTCAGTCCCCAGTACTAGGGAAAGTTCTTTAAGCCAAAGAATATTTCATGTCCAGCATTGTTTCTGCCTGTGCAATACCCATATCCCCTTATCTCAGAAAGAGCCTCCGTCTTTGGTGGGGGAAGCGGCCAGGAGTAGGCCCAGCCCAGCCCAGGTCCAGTTAATCAGAGCACCATGGGCCCCCAGCCATGGTGGCTAGATCAGGGGCGGGTTGACAATCCAGACCGGGCCACCAGAGACCTCTCTGGACGGGCCCTGAAACTACTGGGAAAGCAGCAGGGTTGGTAGGGGCTGGAAGCCACCACAGAGCCAGGGTTTACCTAAGTCTGAAGCCTACACAGAAGCAAGCAAGGAGCCAAGAGATGGAGAAGGAGCAAGACAGGACATCATTTGAACCTCTAGGTCCACCTACGCCTGAAGCCATTTACCCTCTGCACTCCTCAGCTGCATGAGCCAATGCGGTCATTGTGTAACCCACAGCAGTGTGTGCTTTCGTCATTTGTAACAGCAAGCCCCGTGCAACAAGTACCCTGAGAGGAAGAAAGCCGGCAACAGCCAAACAACAAACATATAGAGCCTGGGCCTACGCAGAGCCTCAGGTAGAAGTGCAGGGACGCCA